GAGTGTTTAGGGTGAAGAGAGGCACACTGGTGCATTAAATGGTAACTGCACAAGGACAACATTCCCTTCACAGGGCTTTCTTTCAATCTGTCAAGTTTGCCTTGGTTTTCTCATCTGTAAAATGGGGGTAAGAGTACCTGCCCTCCTGTGTCCTTGGGTGGTGGGTAACAGAATGGCAGTTTCCCGGCACCTGCCTTTTAAGAGAGTACATCCCCATTGGATTGGCCAATCCAAGTTCATGCAAGAAGGATGGGTTGGAGAGTGGGTGGGGGCGTTTTAGATGCTGCTAAGAGAGAAATTCCAGCACTTGGTGTTGGGACTGTTTATTTCCATTCCCCCTTCGCCCTTTCCCCACTCCATCCCTTCCTTCCAACCACTGGTTCTGAGGGTTTCCTGAGGGGTTTGAGATAATACATGCAAACACTTCGTAAACTGTAAAGTGCTAGCACATACTGCTTGTTATTAATGTTCCCGCAATGCAGCCTGGCACACGGAGGCTGAGACTTTATACGGGTGGGGAGACTGAGCCTGCAGGACACGTGACGTAAGGATACGCGAGCCTGTGGCTTCTGCACGAGCTGTCCCCTCTGCCTGAAATGCTCTTCTTAGGGTCTTCACTTGATAGTCCCATCTCAGCTCAAATGTCACCTCTTTAGGGAGATCTTGCCTGACTCCCCAAACTAAAGGATCCCCCTCCTTACACCCAGTGTTGACTTTAAATCACCAGTTTTTTGTTCCTGTGGAATTTCTCGTACTGAAATGATCTCACGGACGTGATTGTGGCTGGTCGGTTTCCAGGTCCTATAAGCTCTGGGAGAACAGAGGTTTGTCTGTCTTCACGACGGTGTGTCCAGTGCCCAGAACAAACAGTGCTCGGCCTGTGGCGACTGGAGTAACGGGCGGCCGGGTGGGCGGCTGGACGGACGGCCCCTGCCCAGCGGCCTCCTGTGACTCCTCTGTGCTTCTTCCCCTGCAGTGAGCATGGAGTTCGGGCGGGCTGTGTGGCTCCGGTTCCACCCGTCGGCCTACCCCCCGTGTCCTCACCCCAGCTTCGTGGCACACTTGGGTGGTGTGGCCGTGGGCATCACCCTGGGCGTGGTGGTCCTGAGGAACTATGAGCAGAGGCTGCAGGACCAGTCGCTGTGGTGGATTTTCGTGGCCATGTATACCATCTTCGTGCTTTTCGCCGTCTTCTGGAATATCTTTGCGTACCCCCTGCTGGACTTGAAGCTGCCACCGCCCCCCTGACGGGCCGGGGACTGAGGTCAGGGAGGGGAGGGAGGCGCAGCGTCAGCAGGGAGCATTTATATTATTTTTTCCCATCACCAGCTCAGTGAGGCCAGGGACAAGAGGCGCTGGGCAAGCAGTGGGGCGTCTTTTCTTGAAAGGCACCTGCTGGAGGAGTTAGATGTGGCTACTGTTGTTTTTCTAGACTCTTCTGAAGACATCGGGCCAGCAAAGGCTTGGAGTGGGGGTGAGAGAAGCCATCCCTTTGGGCTGGGCTTGTTCCATGTGTTCAGGGGTCCCCTCCCTCGTCACAGAGGCCATAAGAGTGTAAGGAAGGCCTGAGGGGGTGGTGGCCAGGCAGGCCCTTGTCCAGCCCGGAGATAATTTCGGGCCAGGAAACATTCCCTCTGCAGCTGTTGGGTCTGGAGCTCTGGTAGTGGGAGAGGGCCTGGTGGTGGACATGTGGACGTGGCCTGGGGGAGCCCGAAGTGCCTGACTGTGCCCGTCGGTGGGCACTGGGGTGCGGTCTCTAGTGCTTGCGGTGGGCAGAGGAGGGAGACTCTGTAACTCCAGGCTCTACCCTTGCCCTGGGGGTACCCAGCAAGAGGAACCCCGGTAAGAGGGGATTCATCCTAAGGTCCACCTTGGGAAGGCCCTGCTTTGGACTTCTCCCTCCCTCTCCCCCAGGATGCTGACATCTCACGCGGGTACCCCAGCATCCCGCGCCCTGCCTTGATTTTAGAGTCCTGCCCTGCCCTGCCCTGCCCTGCCCTGCCCCGACCCTACATTGTGCCTCTCCTTTGTTAGTGGACGCAGTGTTCTGATGTGTGTGCACATGGTTTGGTGGGTGGAGATGCCTGTGTGATGAGAAAAACAATGTGAGGCAAGTCGGAGACGGCAGAGGAGGGCTGTGAGGGGCCGTGGGTGGGTGTGGAGGAGTCTGTGAGGGTGTCAGGGGAAGGAGGGGGCTGAGAGGTGGGAGGGTGTGGTTCCTGAGAATCCCGGCTTTTAGCAAAGCCTGTCTCTTCTGTGCCCCTCCCTGAGAATCCCTGACCCGTGGGAGAATGGTCCGTGTGGAGGGCGGCCTCGCACCCTTCCAGGGCCCCTCGGAATGCAGGGGTTTCCTCGCCTTTGCCAGGTTCTGCTCTGGTTCCCTCTGGAGTGGCCTTCATATCTGAAAGGTTCTGTTCTGTCTCTCTCTGGAGGGAAGGAGCTTTGGGGGTGCAAGAGAGGCTGGGCAGGAATATCGAGGCCATGTGTCCTTTTGAGTTCAATGGGACAGGAAGTTGCAGCAAAAGGAATTCCAGTTTAGCTGGAAAACTGCTCCTAGAGAATTGTTGGGTGCTTGGGTGAGTGTCAGAGGTGAGAGCAGCCCGTAGACTCAGATTCCCAGAGCTGGGAGGGAACTGGGAGATTATCAAGCCCATCCCCACCCCCATTTCACAAGGGAATGGTCTCCTAGCAGGAGCTGGTGCGGGCCCCGAGGGGAGGTGGGCAGGGTGGACTTGGCCAAAGCTTCGTTCCCTTTATACTGCTCTTGGAACTCCCAGCCGCTGACCTCCCAGAAGGGGGAAGAACCCAAGGCTGGGTTCGTGCAGGAACAAGGGCGGGCGTGTAGGGGCTGCCCTCTGCCAGCCACTTGCCCATTAGAGCAACGTGCACCGAGGTTTGAAGTCAGCCCGGCCAGCGTGGCTTCCCTTCTCCAGTGATCACACGTGAATGGGCAGGATCTTTCTACCCAGGGCACCCACACTCCGCCCTAGGCTATGCCAGGCCCTTCCCCGTCTTTGCCCACTGCTAACTAGACTGTCCTGGTCCCACATACGGCGCATAATAAGGTCATGCTGCACTTGGGCCAACCCTGCGCTGAGGACGGCCGGCCGGCCGGGGTGGTGTGCGCCCAGGTCTTTGGCTGAGCTGCGTTGCCCTGAAGCATGTGGTCTGTGCCCTGCCAGCCGTTCCCTGCCCTCCTGAGAGAATGGTGTAGCTGGAAGAGTCAGCTCCTTGGGAGAGGAGACTGAGCTGGAACTGGGGGCTGGGAAGACTGGGTGACGATGGAGAAGGGGCCTTGGCGGTGGGTCGTAGATCCAGGGAGCAGAGAGCCACCCCTCCCCCTGCCTTTGTCTGCCGTGGCCTGGAGAGGGCCCTTCCTCTCTCAGGGGCGAAACGACTGTGGACTGGAAGATTTTAGAAAGTCCTCCGAAAAGCATCCAGTCTCCTCAGGGCTGAGGCTGGAAGCATGTTTGGGAGGACTGCCTGAGGCGGAACCCCACCTGCCATTCCTGTTGAGTGTCTCCTCCACACTCAGAGCCCCATCTACACCGTAGGCCCAGCTGAGTGTCCAAAGGCCACTCAGAAGTCCTCTCATCTGCTCAGCAGCCATCTCCAGCATCCTCTCCCAGCCATCACTTCTAAGCAGGGCCCCGCAGTGCTGACGACAGTCACTTCCCAAGACCCAGGTCTCTGACCCAGGGCCAGAGCCGGTTGTCTGGTAAGAAAGGTTTGCTTTTTGGCACAGGGCTTGCTCCTCAGCAGGTCCCTGTGTTCCCTCACTCCCTGCACCCCACCAGCAGCCTGTGTTCATCGCCCCTCCTTCCTCTCCCACTGCCGGCCGCTTGGCCAGTGCTCCCAGAAGCTGAGGGTGGTGCGAATCTGCAGGCCCCGGAGCCAGGTCGGATTTTCATCCTCACGGTGCAGAAATTGAAATCTGGGGACTCCCCAAACAGCAGCCACAGACTCACTCGCTCCTTAAACGGAAGAGGAATCATAGAAACCGGGGGAAGGAAAACAAACCTTCAAAGGAGAAATTTCGCTTTAATGACACCATTAATCATCCGTTTTTTAATTAGGAAAAGCTCCCTAATGAGGCGCTTTTGCCAGCTAATAGGACTCTCCGTTTCCATGAGCGCTATCCTGGCCCAGAGGATTAGGAGAGTCATTGCTCACCAAGCCCAGCTCTTTCCCCAGCGTCCAATTTCATTTGCAAATAATGCAGGTTCCCTGGGCACAGCGGAAGCCCTTTCCTGGCATTGTTCCTGTTGCTCCCAGGGCTGGCTGGAAAGCACGGATACTCCTCTGCCTTAAAACCCAGTGCCCGACACTGAACTCTGACCCCCGCCCCCAAGGACTTGAGTATGTGGAAAACAAACAAAGACACAAGCTGCAATGTTTGTTTCGAAATATTTTTGTATTGTGTACATTCTGTATATTTTTGTTGTAACATATTATTTGAGCACAGATTCCATTAAAGATTTTTTTTTAAGCCATCGGTTATTTAGAAAGTGACTTGAAGGGCTTAGCCTGTTTCATCTGGGGCTCGGTCAGGGCGGGGGTGGAGGAGAGTGTGGGCAGCCTCGGTCGTGGTCGTGGGTCCGTGATTTATATAATGCAGATGGGGGGCGTTGTTTCTTGGAGCTGGTGTTTCTGGCTTGGTGGTTCTTAACCTTTCCTGAATTACTGAACTCTTCTGAGCGGTTGATGAAAGCTGGTTCTCTTCCCATAAAAATGCACAGATAGACAATTTTGTATACAATTGGGGTGGGGCTGGCTGTGGATAAGGGAACGGACCCATGGCTTCAGGTTAAGAAGGTGGGTGCCCCACCTTCCCCTTCCACTCACTCTTATTCTACCCCGCTGAGAGATTAATATTTTGACTACTGTTGTTGGAGGAATCTGCTTTGAAATTCCTTGGGCACTTCCTTCTTTCCCTACTGGCCTAGTCTTCAGGTCTTTCTGGGGACTGTCAACACCCTGATCTTGAGGAAGGGACAGGAATGTTCTCAGGGTAAAAGGATTCACGAAAGGGGAATATAAGAGCCTAAATGTTAAAAGTAAAGTCTGTCCTTGGTAAGTTTAACGATCAAGTGGGCTTTGGATGGGTGCAGCCTGAGAAAGTGAATTGTTTCCCCCAGTTCCTCCAAGCCAGCCGCGGTGTGTGTAGTTTTACCATTCATAACTGTTAAATTTCATTTGAGGATTACACTACCCTGTTCGATTCGGTGTGGGACTTGTTTCCTGTAATGTTCTTTCCCATCCCTTTCCTGTGTATCATTTTAAAATATTTCTAAGTGCTGCTGGAGTCATCCCAGAACACACCTTAGAGTACGGTTCAGGCGTAAGGTCCAAGAACCCACTTCTGTTTGGAGTGTGAGCCGACTTCTCTGTAAGGGAAGTCGGGACCCTGTGTGAGCACGTGTTCCCATGGGTCAGTTCTGGGCTCATTGAAAAGCAAGCTCCCTGGACAGACTAAAGCTGTCGAGTTAGCTTTGCCTTTGCCTCCTGTCACTTCCCTCTTCACTCTCCTGGTTCCTCCCTTCTACCAGATTCTCATTCTTCTAGTAACTTAGTAAGATGTTTACCGATAGTATGGACACGGTTTACTGCGTCCTGCACTAGGTGCTAGGCACTGGGTGAAACATTTTCAATATACGATCCTCTGTTCATGGCACAGCTACTTGGTGTGAAGCGGATATAAATGTTCCCGTATGAGGGAGACTTACGGAAATTCAGTAACTCCCTGGTAGCATATGGCACGGCTGCATTCATACCCCAAACCGCCTGGTTCCCAAGTTCCCGCTCGGCCTCAGGTGTTTGGACAGGACTTCAGGGACACTGCCTGTGTAGAAGGGTCGGTGTGCCTGTGTAAAGAGCCAGTCTCACTGTTTGGGGGCCATCCAGTAACAGCAGTGAACCTCGCGACATTCACTCAGTGATTGCGTAACCGAATCTCCACTTTGCCTTCTTAGAAAAGCCACAGCTATCAATTCATGACTGATGCGGGTCACCCCCCAATTTCTAGAACCTAGCATTTATGCCGACTCAGAGAGATGTAAAGTCTGTGGTTCACGTTTAGGAAGTTTAGCGGTAATAGGACTGAAGCTGCCTTCTTAGGCCTCCAGGTGGAAAGACTTCATTGAAGCCAGCAGGGCTTCCATTCCTGAGAAGACACGTGGTTAGGAAGGTCCATGGTCCTAGTAACTAAATCTTATTTTCCAGAGGCCTGCGGGCTTTTCTGGCCTCTGGTCTGAGTGACCCTCTGGTAAAGGACAGGTGTTCTGTCATGGTTAATAATGAATGAAAGTAAAAGTAAAAGGAAGTGACCTTGGTTGTTGAGTTCTACAGGTGTAACCTTCCTGGAAATGATTAAAACATATTGATGGGAATTGCTTTTACACTCTGCCTGATGCCTCTTGCAAGACGCAGAAAGATATACTCCAAGCAGGCGATTTGATTTTCTTCAACAAATTCTTAGCATAACAATTATAATTTCCCCATAAACTTGTTATGAGTTAATAAAAATGTCAGGCTTGAGAACTGAGCTCATTAAATAAAAATAACAGTGTTGGTGAGAAGCTAAATTGTTTTATTATTATTACAAATAAAATTACAGATAAACTGAAACCGTTCTGATACATGACAAACATACATTTCCTCTGTGTGTATGTAGCACACAAATAATATATAAATGTATTCCACACGGAACAAATCCTTTTTAAAACTTTAAAAATTAATACATTAGCTTAAGATTTGAATACAGTACAGGTTTCTGGTCATGAGCTCTGAGTTTCTTCTCGTGGCCAACAAGTCACTCAATCCCATGTCACCATTTTCCTTGTCTACAGTAGTGATATAGTTTGTCACAGACTTAAAAAATAAGACTGTTGTATACAACTGTGAAATGTAGTGAGCCTACATCACAAAATACACATAAAAGTACATACAAAGACTATACACTTATACCTTGACTATTCATAAATGACTTGAAGCAGGTAATATATTTGCTTTTAAATGCCATTTACAGCATGGACTCTTAAGTAATATGTGAATTTGAAAATGAAAAATAGGTTTTCCAGACTCGAAATGTTGATGTCCTAATGTTGTGTATTTAAAAAATTCATTTCCAAGTGGGCAACCAAGTACATTAGAAAACATTGGATTCAAGGGAAGTGCCATAAAATTGCTAACTTCCTGTCCTTGATGGTGTATCTCAGTGGTTAGAACGTCGGCCCACCCACTGAAGGGCCGCAGGTTCAATTCCTGGTCAAGGGCACATACCTGGGTTGCAGGTTCGATTCCTGGTCCCTGCACGTGCAGTAGGCAATCAATCGATGTGTCTCTCTCACATTGATGTTTCTCTCCCCTCCCCCCGCACTCCCTTCCACTCTCTCTAAAAAAAATCATGGAAAAAATATCCTCAGGTGAGTATTAACAACAACAAAAATTGCTGACTTGCCATAGTCATTCTGAATTTAATGCTATAAAAATGCTACTTGGACTTTTTTCTGCACTGCCTATGATCCAGGTTATTAAAGTTTAAAACCATATGAAAGCCTTCATGAAGATCCTGAATTGTATTTCTCATTAAAGGAAAAGAAACAGCGGGGTGAGTCATGTCCCTCGACTTCCGCGGAAGACAAAGCAGGCCAATGCCAGTCATTTTGAAAGTTAAAGCTCAGCACTTAATGTGAATTTATGAGTTTAGAAGAGGATTTTTATGAACTTGTGTTCCTCCAAGCATCCTGAGGGCAGTGAGGACACAAGACTTCCGATCATCTAAACAAAAATCATTATCAAATGGATTTATTAAAGAGCTATGCGTGTTTGTAGCTACAACTGGCTTCCCTGGGAATTCTAAATGGCTCTAGCTGAGGGCACTTTCAACTGATAGAGTAAAACAATGATGCTTAAAAACAAAGTACAAAAAACTAAAATCAGCGGGTAACTCTGGTATGAAGAATCCGTTTGTGTTCTTTCTGTTACAGTTTGCTTGTAAAATGTATGTACTTTGTTTCTTTTTTAACACTCTTGTTTAAAAACTCCAGCATTTTCATAGAAAAGAAAAAAGAAAATACAGGCTTTCAGCTAATACCTGTGAACAAGTGAAGGGAAGTGATGGGGGTCACCTCTCCAGTAGCTTTCCATCAGTGAGAATGTTTTATCTTGAAGCTAATGCATCTATTTTTAAAGCTCATTTCTTACACACTCATGATTTATTTGCAAATCAGCTTAAAAGCTGGCTTCATCATCCACGTCATTATCAATCAGACAAAAACCTATCCAGCACCCATGATGCACAGATCTCTGAACTGGTGTCATGGTGCTAATCTGTCCTAAGACTAGGAGTACATTTTGACAAAGAAATATTATGATTTTTCTGAGAGCAAAGGTGGTTAAATATTGCAGCAAACTTCTGAGAGAAGCCACAAAATCACCTCTGAAGTTTTTTAAGACTAGGAGTACATTTTGACAAAGAAATATTATGATTTTTCTGAGAGCAAAGGTGGTTAAATATTGCAGCAAACTTCTGAGAGAAGCCACAAAATCACCTCTGAAGTTTTTTAAGACTAGGAGTACATTTTGACAAAGAAATATTATGATTTTTCTGAGAGCAAAGGTGGTTAAATATTGCAGCAAACTTCTGAGAGAAGCCACAAAATCACCTCTGAAGTTTTTTAAGACTAGGAGTACATTTTGACAAAGAAATATTATGATTTTTCTGAGAGCAAAGGTGGTTAAATATTGCAGCAAACTTCTGAGAGAAGCCACAAAATCACCTCTGAAGTTTTTTAAGACTAGGAGTACATTTTGACAAAGAAATATTATGATTTTTCTGAGAGCAAAGGTGGTTAAATATTGCAGCAAACTTCTGAGAGAAGCCACAAAATCACCTCTGAAGTTTTTTAATCCCTGAAGTCTAGAACTTATAGGACTAGCCATGTACTAAAATTCCGTAACTTGTAACACACCTATCGTGGGTTCAGTGAAGAACCCTTGGGTTTTCATGTTGAATTAAGTTAAATTTTAAAAGTACAAAAATGAAAAAATCTGGAATGCATTTCAAATAATCTTAAATAGCAATCTTACGACAATTTATAACAACTGCAATTTCAAACACCAATGCTGGAATATACAACTTCACAGTACAGTTATCTCAAAACGTGATCAAAACCTGTGAGCAGGAGCTTCTTTCATAAATTCTTCGAGGACAGCTACCACATTTTTGGCTTCAGGCATTTCTTCGTGTTCCACTTTAACAATCTTCAGAAGGATATCTCCACTACCACAGTTCTTTAGGAACATATAACACTTAAACAAAGCGTAATGATTCATTTCTGCCTGTCGGATAAATCTCTTCAAATTATTTGTGTCTTGTATAGCCTAGAAATAGATTACCCAGTTAAAAATCTCACTAAACAGTGAGATAAAAATGAAACCTAAAAAATATTTCCTATCCAGCTGAAAACACATTGCTGAGATGTTTGCTTTTTATTTTAAGTATTTCCATCATTTTTATCACTAATAAGCTTTGCCCTTGGTAGAACAAAACCTCTGATGTAAAGTAAAAATACTTTTTAAATCTCCTAAAAGGTGACAACACTCCTTCCCACCAGAATTTTGAACCCTTAGGCACTAAGTGACTTTTTTTGTGCTTTCCAATTAAGATGTATCATAAACTATAACATTGATATCTCTGAGATCTAAGCAAGCATTCAACCCAATTAACTGGAAACTCAATGATATGTATGCAGAAGCCACTGAAAACATTAACTAAATGCCTTCCAAAGATTCTAGTTTTGAAAACATCCTATTTAATAGACATCACAGTTCTAAAGCAGATTTGTTACTGTGTCACTGGAACTAATTAAAATTCAGATAAAAGTTATATGTGGCACCTGGCACACAATTAATTACCTTTAGTTTAAAGTTCTCCAGTACTTGTCGAAAAAGAAAGGGGTTACCTCCTTTAGCACCATTCAAAAAAGCATGCATCCAATCCTCACAAAATCGGTTGCTTCCTGTAAAATATTTTAGAAAAATCCAATAAAAATGAAATTCTACAAAACATAGACATTTATTCTTTTCCTTTCTATTTAAATGGAGGTATAATTGACATATAATATCAGTTTCAAGTGTACAACATGATATGATATTTGTATACACTGTGATAGTCTTTATTTCTTTAAAAAAACATATAATGAATTATTTAAAACTTTTATAACGGTCTAAAATAGTGGACTCATCACCTGGCTAAAAACACCATAATGGCTGAAGCCCCCATGTGCTGCTTCCCAAGTACACTCCCCCCCTCCTTTCCCATCAGAAAGGATATCATTCCCATATATTAAACTCCTGCCGCATACTCTTGTATCTGTAAGCCCTATATAGTATTATTTTGCATATGTCAAAACTTTATGTATTTTTCTCCCCGTACCCCCCTTCACCCAGCCTATGTATTTTTCTTTTTTAAAAAATATATCTTTATTGATTTCAGAGAGAGGGAAGGAGAGGGAGAGGGAGAGAGACAGAAACATCAATGATGAGAGAGTCATTGATCAGTTGCCTCCTGCACGCCCCCAACTGGGGATTGAGCCCGAAACCCAGGCATGTGCCCTGACCGGGAATTGAACCCCAATCGTCTGGATCCTAGGTCGATGCTCAATCGCTGAGCCATGCCCAGCCGGGGTGTATTTTTCTTTAATGGCTGTTTCACTAGTATGTTTGTGAGCTATACAGAGACTTATAGCTCTAGGTCATACATTTTCACTGGTATATAGTATTCCACTGCAAGAATAAAGCAGTTTATCAGATCATTTTCCTGTTGATGGAAGCATTTCAGTTGCCTTCAATTCTTTGCTATTTCAAACAATGTCTTTATGAACGTTTTTGTATTTGCCTTGTATAATTATAACAAGAGTTTTTCTATATACTTAGGAGTGGAATTGCTAGGCATGACATGATTTCCATGTTTTTAGAATTGCTATTGTTTGAGGTGAGTCTGGGATAAACGTAAAGCTGTACAGGGCAGGAAAGATAAGTTTGTACCATTTGTTCAGAATACAAAACAGAGACAAACTCCCAAGAAACACAGGATGGCTGCTGCAGAGGTGGTAACTCACCTGCATTGTAGAACTGAGGCTGAGAGCTACTACAATCAATGACCACAGACTTATGCTGCTCCTCCGTCATGGCCATGCACAAAGATGTCATGGTGCCTTCGTGAATAAGGCCTTGAAGACTGGCCACACTCAGGAACCTGCCACACACACAGTCCTTCACCACAAACAATATTGCAGGATGGGAAGGAGAAAGCAAATTCATTCTGCACTATGAGAGATTTAAAAACATAAATATCAAGCCCTGGCTGGGTAGCTCAGTTGGTTAGAGCATTGTCCTGATAAACCAAGGTTGCAGGTTCAATCCCCAGTCAAGGCACATACAAGAAGCAACCAATGAATGCATAAATAAGTCAAAAATCAAATCGATATTTTGTTCTCTCAAAGCAATCAATTAAAATATTTTTAAATGCCCTTTAAAAATTTTTTAAAATAAAAACAAAAATATGAAAACATAAATATCAGGCTTGCTGCATAAAAGGTTCTCTTTTAGCAAAACTATTCTTTACCTGTTAATGTCCCTCTTTGTTTTTTCATCTGATTCTTTCACCTCAACAGGAGTATAACTCAGAGCCTATGAGAGAAAAATAAAGCCTAATTGATCTGTGTATTCTAGTTTTCTTTATTGAGCAATGAGCAGCTACTTGTGACTAAGCATCACCTTCCCCCAAACCACCACATGCTTGATAGGTATTGCCCAGGAGCACTCCAGAGCTTTGTTCAGCTGCTGCTCACTGACAGTCTGAAAACTGGCTTTCCGACCTGGTCTCATGGGACCATCCAGTCTCAGCTGCATCTACCCAGCACAAATTTACACGAAAAACCCGGCCATTTACTCAAGCCTTCCTCAGTGTCTGGAATGTTTTAGTGAATTTTCATTTTTCACCTGGACATTTTTATATAGTTAAAACACTTTGGATTTCTGTTTTCCTTCTCAAATTATTTCAGAAATTACACCTCTCCCAGATTATTTCAAAAAGCAATTATTTTAAAATGTTTTATCCTATTAGGAAGACTATTTGCAATTCCACCTCAGTAACGTTCCTTTCTAGATCTGAGTAAATAGAGTCCAAGCACAGTTTGAATGTTATTCAAACTATTTTGGGGGGAGGGGTAATGTTAAAGAAAATGAATAAGTCTTTAAATAATCCAAACTCTGCCCAAGTGATTCTCAATTAAGGAAATGCTTTTGTTTGGGCAACACTTACAGCATGTAGCAAAAAGGTAAGCTTCTCCTGAAAGAGAAGAACCACCCTCTGGATTGGGCATATGACATCCTCAAACCAGCTGCTCAGGTAGACCGTTATGTGATTCTCTGGGCCCCTTTCCTAGATGGAGAGAGAATGTCATTGCTTTAATATAAGCCTTCACCTTAGCAGACTTAACATTTTCTTCACGGTACTCTTGATAGTGAAAAGAACTGAGGATAGACACCTCTTGTTTTTAAGCTAACACCCCCAACTCAAAAAAAGGAATTATAATATAAAACACACTAAGAAATGCATTATATAAAATGAAGGACTGAATAGGGTTCTGTGCTATTTCTTCACTGGGAGGAGTTGTGCATTACATGTCCATGTCCCCACAGTATACTATGTACTCACTGGAGATACTCTAATAATCCAGTCTCCCAGCACCTGGTACAGTGTCTGAAACACCCATGTATTAGCTTATAAAGTGCCAGCTGAATGACTGAAGGAATGCAGGCAGTTCATTCACACTCAAAATGTGAATAGGGAAGAAGACAAGTTCACTCGTTAAAACACTCAGTCTACTCCAGCTGTCGGATGTGCTGCCATGAGCACATCTGGCTTCCTAGGCTGTGCTGCTCTCTGGGGACCAGTCTGGGAGAGTGGCTCCCCCTAGATTCATCCCTGGCTCACATCCCTTCATGCAGTGTCTTATAAGTGCATGCTAAGTAAAAGGAGATATTACCATATGTAATTGGTAGTAAATTTATAAGTTAAGACTTTAAAAACTGCTACAAGCTGAATGCATAGTTTTAAAAAAGGTATGGATAGGTATAGATAACTTAATAGATATATCTAATTCATAAAAGATCAATGGATGAAAAATGGAATATTTCTAAAAATCTTTGATGTTAAGTTCAAGGACAGTCATACCATTGCGTAGCACATCTCTGGTGCCAGAGGTTTCATGGACTATTGGTTCTGACCATAATCTTCTGTGCCTAGAAATCAGAAGAGCACCCTCCTCCTCATTTGGCATGTTACCATGTAACATTGCATTTAATGCACTGAATTTTTCATGGGACACAAAACATCACAAGCAGTGTTGTGGAACTTACAGCACTTATAGGAAGACTATGTTCCCTGAACAAGTACGTTCAACTAGGCCTCAAAGTAGCACATTTTTATAATTTAGGTGTCATTTTGTCTACCTGTATAATTTGACAAGTATAGCAATTATAGTATATTAATCACCTCAGTCTCAAAACACTATTGACTCAATCATCTTACCTCACAGCTCATGTTCTTCAGCCCTTGAATGTACTTGTCCAATTCAAGCCTGAAAGTATGTTCTTAAGGAAGTAACAAAGGATGAATCAAGACAGTGTTTTCTCTCTCAATAGGAAATACAAAATCTTGCAAATAACACAAACTGTGAATTAAAACAAGCCAAGACAAGATGGCCATATGAAGGTATGAAATTCAAGTAAATATTTAAGGGGTGGGAAAGCTGTTTGGAGGTTGCTAGTAATACCCCTCCACTTCCCTTCTCACGATTTCCTTCCTGATATCCCCAAAGACCAAAGAAAGGATATAGCTCAAGTCCTTTGTCAGACCCTCCTAAAAAGCAGACCACATACTCTGAAGGGCTATGTTCAGAGTCCACTGTTGCTATTTCAGGAAGCAGTTTTTCTTGTTGGAAAAGGCAGTAGTAACAACCAACCCGGTAACCTGGTATTCTAGAAAAGAAAGAAAGAGGTATAGTGTATTATTCTGATAACTCATGCATCTAATTCTGTGGGCTGCTTTGAACCCTGATCATCTTGATCTGACAATACTGTTATTTTGCTATCTAATAGGTCAGAATTTTCCAGACTTCTCCTTGGTTTACTCGCAACAGCAGAGGAAAATGAATGTATACCATGACGGGCTTCAGCTAAAGCAGCACCTAACAAACATGGCATTTCTCTGAATTCGACTGTTTTATGTGAAAAATTCATGCAAATTTCACTCTTGCTCATTGTACATTCATGTCTAAGTAAATATAAGCACGCTCTCTCCTTCCCCACACCTTCACGAATCACGGAAGCAGATGTGACATGTTTATCCTGGGGCCTTATCTTTGACCTGTGGCCTCATATTCCTGAGGGGACTTGATGCCAACATCATGATTTGAAGTGAACTACAATCAAGGTGTGTAATGGAAAGATGGCTGGAATTCAACCAGGGACACCTATATTTAAGCCTGAACTCCATGGATGTGACCAGCCTTGTGACGTGAACTCCGAGTTTATTTCCTCATCTGAGAATGTAAGTGTGAGCATCTGCTCTATTACCCCTTTGTAGACAGAACGGCATCAAACTTTGTGAAAGCACTTCACAACCTGTACATTATACAATTTTAGTTTTGGTATTAACTCTTCTAAGTACAGGACTAAATAAGTACACTTACGAGGCAAAGTCTCTGCCATTCGATTAATTCCATTCCACAAATGTTTATGTATAAGGCCCAGTGCTTAGGCAGGCAGAGAACAAAGATGAATTTTGCAGGTCTAGTGGGAGTTGATCTTTTGGAGTCTCTCATCACTTCTCATATTTAGCTCAGAAATAAAAACTCAGCACACAGCACATTTTACACTTACCTCAGCTCCACAGATGCAACGTTACCCAGCCCTTCAAAGACTGCTCCCTTAGAAAGACGCTTAGCAATGAAACTGCGCAGCTCTGGCTCCACTTCAGACGGTAGATTAGTATCCGCCAAGGAGAGGCTTAACAAATGAAAGACACACAATCCTAACCAGTGGACTATTGCGTTCACACCCCATAAGTCAGACAGATTAATACTAAAAGCCAGAGTCCCTTTAAGGTCTTGAAAAAACTTTCTGACTACTGTTGGTGAGGCTGCTAGGAATGTATGTCACCAAGTATGAGTTACCTCATCAAAGAGTTAAAACTGTACTACCTTTCTGGCTCACGCTGTCTAGTACTATGACTCCAGTGGGACCCCCAATCCACTGGCCTTACCTTTTTCTCATAGTCCCTCAAGTTTCCCATCTTACTTCCCTCCTCCTTACCCAGCTTATATTCCACGGTCAGTCATTATAATCAGACCCCTGCACACATTCTCATTCAACCCTTTCGTTATTTTCACCTCACTGTACTTGCTTAGCAAAAAACTTCGGCCCTGCTTAGTCCAGCTCTCTACCTACTCTGCACATGCATCAATGCAGTTAAATCCGGTTGGACAAAAACTCATGCACAGTGTCTAGTCTCATTTTAAATTAATGGTCACTAGCCTCAAGTGGGCCCAGCACTAACTACATTTCTTGCTTTACTCACTCTTCTACTCTCCTAGGTCACTATTTCACGCCTCCTCTTTTTTCCTCAATCCTCCATCTACTTCTTACCCATGAATAAACACTCTAGCGTAGCAATCATTTCTAAGCTAAAAATAAAAATTTTAGTTTGGTTTAGGTTAGTATATAAACAGTCTATAATTTGAATATGCAGGAAGAAAAGGTCTTCTATCACCAAACTTCCCAATAGAGAATATGAACCCAATACTTCTCAAGGTCTTTTGTTTTATAGTATAGAAAATTTCAAACATATACAAAGTCCAAAGAATAGTATAATGAACTCACATATACCCACCACCCAGTTTTAACAATTACCAGCTTATAGCCAATCTTATTTTATTTGAACCCCCATGCTTGTCTGTACCCTTCCACCTTCCAGATTATTTTGAAGCAAGTCTCTGGCATTGTATCATTTCAACCATAAATTTATCACTAGCTATCCCTACTTTGCATCAAGTGTTAAGGTCCATTCAATCATCCACTTAATAAATATGTATTAGATGTCTACCCTGTGCCAAATATCACTCAAGGTACTAGGTAAGGAGACATCAATGAAGAGAAGAAACAACAATCCCTACTGTCCTGGAGTTTCTATTTTAGTGTGCAGCAGAAAAGCTATGAAAAGGTATTCTAAGGGTAAAATAAGGAGGATTTTAAGTTTCTTGGTACTTATATGATATTATTTACTGGAGTTCCAATCAAGAAACTCAGAATAATAGTCTCTGGCTAACCACCCTGGGCACGATCAGTATTTGGATCTGCCCCAGCCTTGGAGGAAATCAAGAAGAGGTTCCTAGGAAATAGGTGGGCTTGATGGTTTGACTCTGGGAAAGCTGAGTGGAAACAGGGTACCCACTGACACCTACGGACCAAAGATGCACGAAAGGTGAAAGCACAGGCATGAGTTATGTTCAAGCTGTTTTTACCTGAAATCGTCACCAGAGGGAGTTTCTGCATTTGTGCCACTTGGGCTTCCACCGTCGCTGTCCCCGCGCTGCGGTGCCAGTCTACAGCCACAAAAGCAATAAAGCTATCAGTTATGGGCTCTAACTCAGACGGAATACTGGGGTCCCCCAGCAAACAGGGGCGGGGCGAACAATCAGCCACAACGCGGCGAGGCAGGCGTGCCTGTCCTCGTGCCAGGGAAAACCCACAATACGGTGCTCATGAAGAGCCCTTCTCTCCCCAGGCCGCACAAGGGGAAGGAAATTAACTATCCAGAAGCGTCAAGCGAATCCTCTCTAAACATCGGACTTGAAAGGGCCAAGAGAGCCCCAGGAAAGTGGGCCGGGCGCAGGAAAATGAGGCAGCAGGGGCAGAGGGGAGGTAAGCAGAGGGCGGGAGTGAGGGGTGAGGAAGGGCGGGGGAGATGGAAGGAAGGGGGGAGCTGACGACAGGAAGGACGGG